ACACCAGCTCCAAAAAAAAATCCAACCAACCACCGGGAGAAGCCATCGCCACCGGCCCGGCGGTGTCCTCCTCCTCCCCGGCCGCGCTTCCCGAAGGCGAAGGGGAGAGAGGGTGCAGTCCTTTTGGCTCTCTCCCCCACCCACCCGAGCTCTCCATTGCCCTGGGCGATCATGTTAAAACTCACATGGCTGGTGCTTATTCAGATAAGCCGAACAATGCTCCCCACCGGTTACCATGTGAATCTTCACAAACCCCGCAAGAATGCGGTGGTTCAAATCCCCCTGACCCCCCTCCAAAGCCAAATTTATTCAAGACAGCAAACTGCTCAGAAGCTTTATGAAAGCAAGTGGTGCTAGAGGGAATTCAGCCTTGTATTTACAAATTAAAAATTAGATGCATCATCATGCAATGAAGGTTGGAAGAGCGGCAGAAAGGCAGGAATGTGTGACCGCTTTTATCGCGCCCTCCTCGCCGTCTGCCTGGGCAGCCGGGCCCACGGGCGAGCCTCAGGAAAAGCAGCACGCAGGAAAAGCCAGGGCACGCGTGTGTGCAGGCGCTGCGAGCAGCGAGCCCGCACGGCCGCGTCCTGCGGGCAGCGGCGGGGCCGGAGCGGTGGCACCAGAGCCCTTCCCGGAACACCGGCCTGGCAGGGCACTGCCCAAACTTCCCGAGAGTTTTTTATTTTTCTCATTCTTTTCCTGGTTCTCCTTCTTTTCATTTATATATTTATTTTATTTTTTTAAACGTGTCCTTTCCCCTCCACCGTTCTCAGGTGTACACAGATTAGAAGTGGAGTTAGCAACCAAAATTAATGGTAATCCAAGCCATTTTTTCCTGCCACAAAGCTGCTTTAATTTCGGTAGCAGCCTTTTAGGGGCTACCTCTTGGAGCAGTCTCTCGATTTTCACTACTGCTTTCCCTTCTGTTCCTTTTGGTCAAAACTCCTTCACTTTAACCCATTTAAAACACACTGCTCTGCCACTCTGCGAGTCAGAGCCTCCCCAAACCGGAGCTTTTTGCCCCACAAATAAAGCCCCTCACAAGCAATGAGATCTCAGCATGACAACACCGTCCTGAAAAGGGCCACGGCAGCAATCCAGACAGAAAAGGAGAGAGAGACACAAGGCAGAGGATTTCAAGGCTGTTTGCTTCCCCCCAGACGTGGTCCCAAACTTCCAGGTTCACTTTCCCCTGGCTTTGCTGGGAATTGTGCTGGCACTCATTCTCCCTGGCACATCTGGCCTCTGGATGAAAACGGATTTGAAATCCACTGTCCCTTCCTGGAATTTATATAATTTTTTGCAATTTTGGTGGTTTTCACTTCTTATTTTTAAAGCTTTTTTGTTTGTTTGTTTGTTCATCCCCTGTTCTCCAGTTGCAGCAGCAACTTTAGTTTTAGAAAAAGCAAACAAGTCAGAATATTTCAGTATTTATGATTTGCTCAGTCCCTCACTATTTTTCCCTGTTAAGTCCCTTCCCAAGTGTTACAGGTTTTGTTGCTTATCTTACAACCTTGTGAAGTAAATAATGTCCTATTAGGATTTCATGGAACAAAACTGTGTATTTGTTTTGTTCTTTGTTTGTTTGTTTTTTCTGCGTTTGCTTATTATTAATGTTTGAAATACACTATGGGAAAACCTGCTGGCAGAAATATTCCCTTGCAATTTTACTTCCATTTCTAGAAAAGGAGTCTGCCTTTCCTCCCTGCAAAATAAATAAAGAATCAAGCAGCAATTGGTTAAAAGGATAACTGACTCTAAGTATTTAAATAACATTTTATAGGTGACTACCATGCAGTTTTGTTTTATCCAACAAAATACTGCTGGGCAGCAGTTTTGGGAAGCATCCCTATGTTTAAAAAAGCAACTGTGTTCAAGTTTGATTCCTACCTGTTGTGCCTTTTAAGCCAGGATTACCTGTAACACCTGTCACATATAGTTACCCAGGCTGACTGCAGCTCTGGGAAGCTACAATATGGGCTGTGATTAATTTGAAGATTTCAGAATAATACTGTTATAAAAGCTACACTCTGGACAAAAATAGGATTAAGCTCTGAGGCTGTGTATGAGCTAAAAGTGTTGAAAGCTAAAGCCCCCGTGCCACCATTTGCGACGGGCAGTTTAAAATGACAGAGTTTGCTAAATTCACATTGAAGTAGAAATGTTTTCAATTATTCATCTTCATTGACTTCATATTGTCTTTTCCCTTTTTTCCCCACTGCTTAAACTGATAATTACTTTGAGCAAACAGACGTCCAGTTCCCATAGAAATGCTTTAATAGAAATGGTCGAAAGTTCTCGTAGTAAAACCTTCAACCTTGCTACTATAATAAATAAGCCTGGCACTTTGATGAAAATTAACACTAGTTTTGTAAAGAGCACATTGGGGGATTGCAGTCAGGTCTTATCTTTAGTTCCAGTCAACTAGCAATCCTGAAAGAGTTTGCATCATCATCAGAGCAGGCCATTTGATAGGATTCTGCTGCTGAACCTAATCAATCTATGGAATACTGTGGCTGCGCGGTGTAACAAAGCTAAAATAGATTTACAAATGGGGTTTTAGAGGATAAGCTCCTCCACAGGATTACATATTGATTTTAAATATAAAAAGCTTATCATATAAACCATAACTACAAAAATAGTGAACCTATGCATAAATCCTTTTAGAAGAGCACCCACTTCAAACTATAAGCCAAGAATAAATCAAGATGTACAAAATCCCAAAGAAGATCCATTTCTTGGGCAGAAAATGAACACACCACCCCAAGGTGTGCAAAAATGAACTTATCTTTTCTAAGGAGGCATTAAAACTCGACTGAAAAAAAAAAATAAAGTAGTGAGAGGAAAGGTAGCTGCAAGTGAGGCATCCCGGCACTTGGCTGCAGCTGCAGCAAAAACCAGGCTCTGAAAAGCAACACCTTGTGTACAGGAGCAGCTGGCTCCAAACAGCCAGGCAGGACACCCGGGGAGGTGCAGAGGTGAAAACGGGACCCCGTTTACCTGCATTTTCTTTGGCCTGTTAGTGAGGGGTTTCCAGTCCAAGAGGAACACTTTCTAGCTGGGAGCAGGCAGCGCGTTAACTCTCCCTTTCTTATCTCTACGGCTCCGTGGGGGAGGGGGGGAGCATGCCTTTTTTTTTACCACCCTGGGTCATTCATGTGCTCCTCGTGAAGTGCCGTAACCCTCCAAGAGGCCATTCAGCTCCCGGTGCCTGCAGATGAGCGGCCGGGAAGGAGCCACAGTCTCCACATCACTGAACATCCTAACGGGGAGCACCTCCGGCCGCCAGCGCTGCCCGCACGCTGCCCAAGCAGGCACGGCACAGCCGCCTTTATCTGCCATCAGCAGGCTCCCACCTTCTGCAAAGCGCTTTTCTCTCCTTTTTTTCCTCCCCCCTGTCATCAACCAGCTAAGTAAATTGGTTGACAGATTTTTAAACAGCATAGTCACGCGTGGAAGAGTTAAAGCAATTTACCAAAACAGTAATTACCACCTTTCAAAGACTTTTTGAAGTTCCAGTTTGGGTTGGTGCGTTCTGCTTTTCTTTTAGACGAACAAACCGCTCCCATCCTGTTACATATATATATACATACATATATATGTGCGTGTGTATATATACACATATGGACTTTTTTCCCTGCCCTTATACTTTTGTTTTGGAACTGGTGCTGGCAAAAGTGAGATCTGTCTTTTCAACTCTTTCAGAGAGCCCAAGCACTCATTAGCAATCGGCTAAATGGCTTCGGAGCCGACAGTGCTGGGCTGGCCGGGCAGCCCCTGCTTCTCCAGAGAAATCACATTGCAAATGGTGTAGTTTTAGCAATGATTCCCAAAAACGGCATCTTTGTATCGTCTGAACACACTAGACACTGATGCACCCATTGAGAGCCGAGATGCCACAAATGCGTATTTGAGTTTTCACAGGTGTTTTCCTGGAAAGAGTTTTTCCTATAATATTTTTTTTGGGTAAAAGCAGATAACTGTTAAAAGTTCTAGAAAACCAGTAATCTCACTGAGAGCTAAAATGATAAATGAGAACTTCGTTGCATAAATAAAAAAAAAAAATCCCCCAAAATAACCAAAATTCTCCACCACTTTTGTTTGCTTCCTAAACCTCTGTTTACCATATTAACCACTAGCATATTAAAAAAAGGAAAAAAATCAGAAAAAAAAAAAAAAAACCAAAAAAAAGGAGAGAGAGGAAAAAAAAGATCATTTTCTGGAGTTTGGGCATCCCTCTCTGAACTTACAAAAAGAAATTAAAAACCATTTTTGTTCCAGACAATGTGTAAATGGCACAAGCTGCTAGACATTCAAAGGCTGCTGCTAGGACATTCCAAGGCATCATACATGTATGAGGCAATTAAACATCGGAAGTTTAGATTTAAATCCAGGATCTCTTAGTTCCTCTCTAGTTTTAGATTATTTTACGTTTTAAATATTTCATCAGTACGATTCCAAATTAATCTGGCTTGTCTCTGCAAAAAGCAATGTACGTATTTATGACTCAGGATTATCCAAGAATATAGTGAAGACAGTCTTATGCAAAAAATATAACTACAGATGGAGAGATATGAAAAAGCTACCTGAAACCTGCTGCTTTTTTCCAACAAACTTATGCTCCCAGTGAAGTCTCCAAACTAATTAGAATTGATTTATTATGGATCAGGTACCTTATCAGGTGAAGAAAGAAATTACCATGGACAGTCAAAGGGTTGAGAGGTCAATACAGAATAGCAAAATCAATTTGCATTGATTAGACAAAAGGTCCATTTTACAGAGCCCAAAGGATTAACTTTAAAGCAAACATCTTTGAACTGTAAGGCAGCATTTGTGACTGAGAGGTATAAGTGGTGCAGCATTAGAAAACACTTAAGATATTTAAATAAGAAAATAATGCAAGCAATGGTTTAAGCTATCTGGATGTTTATTTTTTATTGTGAATCATCCTAAGGATTATTGTACAATTCACTGGAAAGCCCTATGGAAAGGGTGCAATTGTTTCATTTATCCCATGTCAATCTTCCCCAGAGTGTTACCTCCATTCAGGTGAGGTGACTAAACTGGGGAGAGTCACAGAGAAGGGAGAAACTCTGTGCAAAGGATCACACTAATCCTGCTGGTGCTTGTGATGAAATATTTACTCGACAAATGCAGTATTTTACCACCAAAACCAATGAGACTTTTTCCCCCCCAGTGAGTTACTGTTGTAGAACAGGTCTGAAACATTCAAAGGAAGAAGGCCTCTTCTGTGGCTCACCCCTTCCTTTTTCTGCGGCACCAAAAGCAGCACGATGCCGCAGGAGAGCCAAGAGAACACCACTGCAACAAAAACCTGTAAACCCCAGACACACTCTCTACTTCCTCATCACTTCGTTTGCAAAGTTTATCGCAACAAGACCTTACCATGTCCCATACCTCGGATATTTTTAATTATTTTTTTTTTTTTAAATCCTTAAGAAAACTTATTAACGGGATTGCAGCCTCAGCACACTTGCTGGGTGCTCTCAGTTGAAGTGATGTAAATATCAGCATTACTGATGGGCTTCAGAGGAGCCTCCACGTTTGGCACTTCCAGGTGCCAAACCTGTCCTGCAGTGAGCACTTTTCCCCCTCAGCCCCCAGCACTGCTCTTACCTTCAATAGCCAGCATTGCTCTTAGCTCCCGGTTCAGCAGCTCGTAGCGCCTTTCTAGGTCATGTTCTTTTTCCCTAGGCAAGTTGCAAATGTTCATCAATATGTTAATTACTAAATCATTAAACACTTAAAAGCACCTTTAACTTACATTGATTTTAGGACTCGCAACTGACTTTTCTCTTTAACTTTAAGCTACTCCAAACAAATGATACACAAACTTAAAATCTGGATCAGGTGGCCTATTCAGTAACAGGGCCTTTTCATTTCATATAAGGTCAGCTTTAATTCTGTCAGTTTAACTCCACTGCACTACAGGATGCAATTATTTCATATTCATCTCTGGAACGGCTGTTGTGGAATGTCCAAATTATAAAATATTCCCCTAGATCTAATGAGCAAATTCCAGCCTCAACCTATTCACCAAGATAATGTGATACTGAAAGTATTATTCTATATACAGTCTGCCCTAATCAACAATAAAAATTAGACAAGGGATTAGAAAGCTTAATATTTTGCAGGTAAAATCCTCTGTCAAGTTCAGACCCAGCAGGAGATAGGTGAGCAGAGGCTCTTCCCAGGGAAGTATGCAGGCATCTACACTAGGTGGCATTACGGAAAGAAATATCAAACTGAAAGAAGCTGGAAGAGAAGCACTCAGGGCAGAATGCCTCTAAAAATGAGCAGCACCTTCTCCCTTCCTCAACACTGCCAGTGAGAAAAGGTTCATTTGTCCTTACTTTGCAGTATCAGTGGTATCACTGCACTATGACTGATTTACTGACATCCCTTCAGCAGAGATGGGACTGAGGATTTTCTACAAAGCAGGTAGTGACTCAAATTTGGCTCTCTCTCTGAATAGACTTCATCTGTCTCATCTGAGCCACAATCCAAATCTATCTGTGCATTTCTAAAATGTAATTTTATTCTACTGTTGGGCTTTTGAAAATCTAACAGTGCTTAATATTTCTTTAATTTCTTTTTTCACAGCTCTTGCTAATCTTGTGTCATTGCATGCTTCTCATTTTCAAGTCTGAAATATGAGAAAAACAAGTTACTCGATGTGTAACACATTCACACTACTCACTTTTGAGGTTTTTTTTTTTTTTGAAGCCTAAAGGGAAGAGAGTAAAAAAAGTTTGACATCTCTCTGAAGAGTAAATCATCCTTTTGTAAATATGTATGTTCATCTGTACTTACAGAAGAGAAAGCTGGTTCATTCGTCTTATTAAGGCATTCTTCTTATTAACCAGCATGAACCACTCCTGCATCATAGCTTCCTCTTCTTCCGTGTTTCTTCCTGCAATCAAAAGAACTTCATTATTTATGTGGCATTTCACAAACTGAGGTACATATTTTCACTTCAGGTTTTGGAGTATCAGTTGCCAGTATCACTGAGCATGACATGGCATATTCTCAAATGGTAAAAATATCATATAACTTCAAGTCCTGCCTGCTTTATAAATAAATCTTTGAAAGCAGTCATCCTCCAGGATACATTTTAGTGTTCTTTATCATGCTGATGCCCTGACCTAAATAAATACCTTTTAAAAGGACTGTGTATTTTAAATTCTCCCAAATGAACTATATAATTGCAACACTTCCAGTGAAAAACTCTTACTGCTAAAAGATGTCTGGTCATCACCAAACACAAAAACAATCCCTGTAGGCAAGATCCACTCCACCCATGCAAAGCCAGCACAGTCAGGATGATGTGGCAGGGATCAAAGTAGCTGCAGAGGAGATGCTAATCCTGAACTCTTGGTAAAGTGTGGGCACCTGCTCAGCTTCTGTGTTCATGGACACTCTTCCAGATGAGCTGGAAAGAGCTGCCCCTCTCCTCAACCTGCAACCAAAGGGAGCAGCTGCACAAATACAAAAAATCTTGGGTGCAGGTACCCAAGAGTGCCATATGTGTATGCATGGAGTAGTACCCCTTTCCCTAGCCCCCATCCATCCCAGGCAGGATCAGCATCAGGACTCTTCATATCCACCTGCAGGCAGTGCTAAGCTCCACCAGACTCTCTAAGACTCTGTGTCACCACCCCTGCACCATGAGCAAAAAGCAGATGAGTGTCCAGAAGGCTCCTGGCTGTCCTTTCCACGTTGCAGGGCTGCTGAACCAAATTTCACCCTCTCTGAGCTCAGGGACTCGGAGAAAGTCCTTTGTGGAGGCTGTGCTGCTGTGGAAACCTGCCATTCTCATCCCTCAAGATGAGGTGAAGAGCAAGGCCTACATGGTCCTCACTGAATTATGAAACTCACACATTCAATGGGGTTAAAATGAGTCTAGGAATAAACTTGGAATAGAAGCAAAGGAGCATGAGGTTGGTCATGTGAGTTTGTTTCCTAGCTTTGATAGTGCTTCACTGGGAGAGTGTGGGTAGATGTCTGAATTTAAGCACCTCGTGTGCAATATGGTAATAAACACCTGTACTGATCCTGCAAGGGTGCTAAGAGTTAATCAATTAATTAAGAGGTGTTTGTAAAGGGGTTTGAAATCTCTGATGCAAAGTGCTGCACACTTGGGGATGCTATCTTACTAACTTAAACCCTAGGGTCCCTAGTTGCAGAGAAGCCTTTTACAGCACCTGGAGCTGGAAAGACACCAGAAAAATATTGTTTTGCCATAAATCAAAGCATTCAGTTTCTGGATGGGAGTGTTTCTCCACGTGCATGTTCACACCCCAATGCCACAACAGTGTGCAAGCCCAGACCTAGGTGGAGAATTGCACTCTCACCAGGCTGTGAGCCTCCTGCCTGCAAGGGAAGCTTTCCAGCCTTCTCCAAACTCTTTTGTTCCCCTCTGCTGTGGCCATGAGGCATCCACACAAGGGCAGGAAAAGAGGATGAACAGGGAAGTGGGTCAGCTTGGGGTGGAACTGGTGGACCCACACAGTAGGAAAAGGTTACATTTGGCATGCTCTCCTTTCTGATAGGAGACATCCACCCACATCCACTTATCTACCTGCGAAAAGTGCCTGGTCAATGAAATTTCCTGGAACGCTGCTTTTAGGGCCACAATTTTCTAGAAGAGACAACAGTGAGACAGAAAGGGCAGAGCATCCCAAAGTGTGGACAGACCCACAGTGCATTTCCAAGCAAAAGCAGCAGGGCCCAGCTCCTGGGGCAATGGAGCAATGAAAGAAGAAATCTGATGTGTAGAAATGCTCTCCCCCAATATCTCCACTTCAGGTTTTGCGCGTAAAATACCACACCACGGCATTTACAACAAAACTCAGCAGTTCAGTACACTTTGGTATTTTTGGTAAGTTACAGATCAAAGGCCTTGCTGCTGCACTGGTCCATCTAACAGGTCTGCATTTAGAAGCAGATAATAATCAGTATTACCAACCTTTTGCTGAAATGCACCAAATAGTTGAAACTTATTTAGGGGAGACATCAAGAAGAAGGGGATTTTTTTCCTTTTTTTTTTCACCCTTGCAAAATGACCAGTCTATTCTGTAATGCATAAGATTTTTTTCCCTAGCAATGTGGCAAAACATCTGTGACTACAGTAATATTTCAATCAATTTGTTAGTTTTGGGGTGGGCTGGGATGTCTGGCTGAAAGATTATAAATACAAGCCCTTGCTGCATTTAATTTTGCAAGCCTTGAAAAAGAAATGGGAGAGATAAATGTCTCCAAAGTGTTTGGCTCAATGGTGGATCTGACTTCGTTGACTTTCGTACCATGCAATTTCAGGTTAAGAACATAAACTTAAGACATAATCTTCTTTCTATTAATGCATTCCTCCTAAACACAGTTGCAACATGTAATGAGAAAAGATCTGGGTAAAGCTTGGAGCTGTCATGTCAGATCTGCACAGGTGCCTATTTTAATATATCTGTGCTGACACCAAAGCACATGCAATATCCATAGAATGGGCTGGTTTAAAAGTGAATTAACAAAGTCTTGATTGTTTTTACAGAATTTTAAATCTGTTTTTGTATTCGCTTTGGACCCATGTGATGCCCTGACACCGGTCATGTGATATCGGCTGCGATAGGCACAAATCCCCCGGCAGCAACAAAAGAAGAAAGAGCAAAAAAGAAAAAGCTGAGAAAAAGCTTGCAATTTGGAAAAAGGCCAATTTTACCCCAGCGAAGGCCTTTTTGATCAGTGAAATGACACATGTGTGCAATATTAATAGTAGTCAATGCTGATATTTTATTTGTTGACTGTCAGCTTTTAAATTCTTGTGCAGAGAGCTGAAACAAATTCTTCCCAAGTAAGCAAAATAAAGATGAACTCCCATATATAAGAAATTTAAAAAACTCTTCGGCAAATACAGTAGCATTAGAGCATTACTTCATTTTTATACTTGGTGAATGGATGCACATGAAACACTTTCAACAAAGAAAAAGTGAGTGTTCTTACTGCAGCAACACTGCAAGTTAAACCCACATTTACAATTTCTAAAAAATAATTTAGAAAAAGCCTTTCTTCAATATGGTTTCACTCTGTAAAACCCAAGCTGCTGCTGGGGTGGCTGTTGTTTCCACTTTCCAAGTGTAAAACAAGTATTTAATTGACTTGCTACAAGTGCTTGAAAATTTAAATTGGGAAAGTATCTGTGTTGTTCTTGGGGAAAAAACCCACAACAAACTGTACAGATTATTTAAATGAAGCAAAAAACCCCATGCTAGAGAACAAATCGATCCCACACATGCAAACCCCTTATCTAAGCCAGTACAAGATGCTGAAAATCTATAAATAGCCCACAGATCTTAAACTTAAATTTTTTCCATAATACATGCATTACACTATTGTTTTTGATAAATAACAACAACAAAACCCTTTTAAAGCTAGTAAGTTGGACCATTACAAATTAATCCTGACTTTAATAACTGGTTAAAGACCCCTTCAGCTTTATAAGTAACAAAAAATATTAAAGCCTGTGATCACAGCGAGCTTTTCTCATTTCTCCTCTAACCATTTGTTATTTAATCCAATACTAGTAATCCAATTTGTCCATCAGACTTTTAAAGGGCAGAATGCAACTTCTCCAGCTTAGACACTTTTCAAAGTACAATATATTTTTCAAATGAATGCTGGATGTTTCATTTTTTCCCCAACTGTTCCTAGCTCTAATGTATGAGGAAAAAAAGAACAAGATGAACATTGTTCGTACTGATTAAGTAAGAGCTCATTAAAGAGCTGTCAGTGCTGTACTTTGAATATGCATGAAGCATATAATCAGATCTAGTACCGTCACTAGAGGAGAATACGGTAAGTACAAAGGATTGATTTAATTACTTAGAGTGGGCTGTGGTGGTAAAGCAGTCTTGTTAGCGCAGAAAGAAAAGGAGGTTGTATTCTGGCACGGTTAGGGGAAAAAGGCAGTTTTAGCTTCTGCCACAATACCTAATCTCAGGATAAAGCACTTTACATTGTAGCTTAAAATGAAGACTGCCAGTTTTCTAAAAAGACCAGAATTCATCTTATCTTGTTTAACCTCATCTGGTTAACTATCTAGCAGAACATATTTATTCTCTTTAACACGTAATTATGCTTATACCTTTTTATCCTATAGTTCAATAATGACTTCTGAAAACAGTCTTCAAATAAGAGCGGGCAGTGCTGCAAACATCATATGCATGCAAACTGCTCGGTAAGAGATTTGAAAAATGCAGCACCAGAAACTCAGATGAAACAGTGAGTACACGCGCCTTTATGTGAAAAGTCAATACAGTTTTTAATGTCGGACTTTAACCTGAGGAGGCTTCTGGCAGGGTTTCTCTCATTTATTTTCTTTTTCCTCTCTTCCTTTCTGTCTCCCTCCCCCCCGACTCTTTTCTTTTCTACTTTTTTTTTTTTTTTTAATTCATTCATTCTTGTTTTATTCTTCCTCTAGGAATCCAAGGGAATTCTCTCACATCAACTCCCAGTGCCATTTTCTAATTTCATTGTCTGGCTTGAGTGGTGAAGGATGCGTGCTCTATTCTTCTCTTCACTTGACATCTACCAGAACCCTCCTCAATGATTAGGAATGAGCCCAACACCAAGCCTCAAATAGCACAAGACATTAAATTCTGCCCTCAGATATGAGAAGCTCCTACTGGCTTCTGAGTTGCGATTCCAAGCTGTAATAGCTCCTGCTCAGGATTCAGTAAAGGCTGCAGCATAAAGTTTGGTAATTTTGTTCCTTACTGGAACAAATTTTAGTGATAGCCAAAATACTGATAGTGAGAATTTTAGTGATAGCCAAGAAAATAAAACCCAACAAACCACAACCCCAAATACCTTTCCTTTCTCCTGTGGCTCATCACACATATTTCTGATTGTTATTTGAAATCA